TGTTCTTCAGAAAACTGAAGATTCTTGTTGTACAAATCTTTGGAGAACACATATATGATCTCCATAGGGGACAAATGAAGATCATTTTTTTTGTTTTTTGAAGAACACAGATTTTTAACAGTGTACTACTTACTGCAACATATAATCTACAACTCTTTGATCGAAAACTATAGCGTCATTCATCAGGATTATCACAGGTATCCTGAACTGTTATCAATCATTGATATTCTCAGTAGTAGATACAACTCAATATTAATAAATAGTAATAATATTCAGAGAACGTTTATGAACGACTGATATATTGAAAAATAAAGCTCCGTTTTTATCTCGAAGCAGAAAGACAAAACTATTAAAATACATAAGAACATATGCTAAAGCACACTAGTATAGAAATGGCAGTCGTTCTAAAATGGAAGTTTGATCGGAGATGGAAAAATCGGTAATGGTTAACTGCTTCTCCTCTATTGTAATTCTAGTTTTTCAGTCAAGAAAATCAGAAAAAACCTTGGGAGACAATACTTCAATTAGAAAAAAAATACCAAAGTAATACACCACCAACGAATACTAAGAAGAATAAAGTAAAGCAAAGTAATTTAATCTTCTATAAATTCAGTAAACTTTCGTTGAAATATTGTCTATCATCACTTTTTGAAAGTTTCGAGTTATTGTTATTAGCGGTTCTAACAATTTATGTAAAGGTGAGACTTGATTTTTCCGTACTATTTTCATCTAAAAAAAAAACAGAACTTCATCGATTATATCATACTGATTTTCAATAAGAGAACTTCAGTATCTACGTTGAGAAACTAATGATTAATTATGATCCTAATTTTTGAAATTTTTTTCTGTAGTTAAAATCACACTATCCCTAGTCCACTTTCTCTAGAAAAATCCCCAGTGAGTCCCTGAAAAAACTCTCCAAGGAATCCCCTAACGGATTCTCCAGGGAGTTTAGAGGAAGTCCCCAGAAATTTCTCAGGGAGTTTCCAAAAACGAATAAATGCTAAATTCGACTCCTGTGCTCAGTTTTAAGCATAATTTAGCTTTTTTTCCATCGATTGAATTGAAATTTATTTTATATAAGGAAAACTACCACTTTCTTTCCAAAATTCTTTCTCACCTGAGCCACCCAGTGAGTCACTCGGCTAAAAAGTTAAGTCACGTCGAAACAACGAGTTAACGCCGACGAGTCTCAGACGGAAACAGCTACACTTATTTAAAAAAGAAAGAAACTAATCTAAAGAAAAGAGATGTTTCGGTTTAAATTTTCACGTTTTATATACTTCTGCAGCCGCAAAACAAAACGGTGGATTTGTTGTACATTCTCTCTACGAAATCCATGGAAAGATTACATTATTTCTCCCCACTCTCTGAAAATCAGGGAGTCACCAGGGCTTTTACAGAGAATCCCTGAGAACTCCCTAGCGGTTTCACGTTATTTCGGAGACTCACCGAGGACTCACTAGGGATTTTACGTTTTTTCGAGGACTCACCGGAAACTTCATCAGGGAAAGTGGACTAGGGATTCCTTGTTTCTTGAGTTATGGATGTAGCTGTTTATGTTGATCTGGCAAATATCTGAATCAGAACGACAACAATTTTACCGTTGAAGTTATGAACTGCGAACAGTACCTTTAAAGTACCGTTCAACTGATAATATCAGTTGACAGTTATTAACGTCAACGTTGTTTATCTGTTATCCTTGAACAGGATGATAGGCTAAAAGATCGGCATGACGTCTAGCGACACCTTGAACTGATGTTTGTTATTCAATTCTTTTACTGAATTCCTTGTGTAATTTACTATTCAATGCTGTTTAAAAAGGTCACTTACGAAAAACTCATCCATGTAATTCGGAAGCTGAAGAGGACTAATCTATGGGAACATAAGCTCTTGATGGCTCGACTTTGTCATTTTTGTGACGAATAGTTAGCTAGCTTTCGTGCAGAAGTGATCGAACAAGTTAAACCCACAAAAACTACAGATAAAAATGTTATAATTAAAGTCTTCATGGCAATTCGGTCAGCATCAGCAAAACACCGTATTTCGCACAATCCAATAACAGGAGAAAAAATTGAATATACGAAAAAGGCTCATTTTCTTAATGATCCGAAGACACCAGTGTATGTTTTTTATATCGCTTATACTGGCTATACCACTCTTGTTCGCATTAATAAAGACAAACGTGTCAGAATACACATGGTCGGCTATCCTTGGGGACGCAACCATGGATTATTTAACATTGGACCAACTACTTTGAGAAACAGGGCTGGTCCATGCTATTATAGTTTGAGAGAAATTATTTAGGCAATATATTAGTTCAAAACTTATGGCTGTGAGGAACACAAGCATAAAAATATCATTAGATCAGGAACTAGTTTATATTCACAGTTGTGACACTACATATCCATCGCGGTTCATGTTTTCGACCACATAATTTTATCTAATATCATTAAGTTCTATAATTAGCATTCTTACTTCAAAGAATCCATCCTCTCGGAATGCTTTTCTTCCACACGCATCCGAAGGAAAACTTTAGACATATAAGCTCACGATATGAGTGGGTCATAATAAGATTTCTAGTCTGAAATATTTAATCAATACTGAGAAGAACCTACTTAAAACATAGTTTGCAGACTGATGGAAAAAAGTCATGTGTTGGAAAAACGCAATTGTTTAAATGGAGATTTTAGAGAAATTCAGCCACAAATTAAGACTGCTTTTGCAGAAATCTCCGTAATGGTAGCAAGAATCCAAAACGAAAAAGAAGCTTGAAAATCTTAATTTTCATGTGAGTTTTTCTAAAATTTCGATTTAAAGTATCCTAGTAAAATGTGTCTGAAGATTTTTGCAACAAATCTGTCATAGATTGTTGTACATTTGAATCAATCTTTGTTTAGGTTTTCCTTGTAGAAAATTCTTCAGAGAATTGAACTGTGTTTTGGGGAGTATGTAAAACTGCTGTGCTATAATATGTGTTCGTTTTTTAGTTTTAGCGTTCCTACATTAGACTTAAGTGATGTGTCAGATGGAGATGATGTCCCAAATCCAAAGCCTGTTTATTCGGCAAGGTAAATATGTATTTTTCTCCAAAACAGAAATGTATCCTGACAAAATTTTTGTTTCTTTCGCTCAAGGCCATCTACAGCAAAAGGATCATATCGAACGGAAAGTAGAGCATACGGTAATTTTGATCATAATGCAGCCATTTATACAAATCGACATGGTAATCAACCAGTAAGTATACATTTTCTATCTCGTAAAATAGTAATCGGCTTAAACGCACGTGACGGAATTACATTTTTTCAACTTTTGGGCTCTGTTTCTCCTCAAATACTGAACAAAAGATGATGAAATTTTTATCGGCGATGTGCGGTAGAATGCTTGGTTTGTGGTAAAAATTTCGAATGCGTCGGTTAAGTAGAATGATTTTTATGAGCAAAATAGGTGTCGTGACGGAGTTACATTTGTTAGCCTTTTTTTCTAGTGCTCTACAAACTTTGAAAAATGCTCTAAAATGAAACATATTCAGAAAAAAAGTCTAATATGAAAGTTGTAGAGCATGAAAAGAGCTTTCGAATCATCTCTTTACTTTCACTCAAAAATGCTTAAATGGAAAGAAACAAGCGAAATGGCTCCGTGACGGAATTACATCATTTTTTTGCTTTCTTTTGCGGTGGGTTTTGTCGTTATATTTCTACCGGTAAAAACGACTTATATAAAACTTGATCTGCACGGAGCCTTATGCAATCGAGTGCCCTCTATCAAACTAAGCAAAAAAGAACGGTGGGAGAAATGTTTTTGATTTTCGTAGAATTACTCCAAAAAAGTACCATTTCGAATTAGGCAAAAAATCGGCAAAAACCAGCAAAAACTTGTTTAGTGTGCAAAATGCGTTTTTTAAGATTGTTTCGACAAAGTCAATAGTGCATTTTGTAGAGAATTTAATTCTTTATCCACTGATATACTTTCTGAAGCTTTTTAAAAAACTAAGTAGGTCAGAAAATTGCAATAAAAAAACTTCTAAATTTTAAATTTGAATTTTCGATTTAAAAATTTTCGTTTTAAAGTTGATATTCGTAATCAGCGCAAAAAACTGCGTCTAATGATGTGCTTTTAAGCCTGGTTTGAGAGAAAAAAATATCGCTCAACCCACCGCAGCTGAGGGTGACAGTTACGCGTTTTAGCCGTAATAAGATTGGTTATTATTCTAGCAAGATATGAAATATAATATAAATTCTGAGAGAGTACAAGCTATGGATGTCCAAGTTCCATTAGCACCAAGACATGATTCTCATCCTGCATCTGCACGTATTCAAGCACAGTCTACTCGTTTACCGGATTCAGTTCGACCAAATATGCTTGCAGCTGGTTTAATGCAAAATAAACCGCCGATTAGCTATCGTGCTAGCCAAACAACATCAAGACGAGAGCCATACGATAGTCCCTCGTTCGAAGATTTTCATTTATTGTGGCTAGAAAGTGGATCACATCATGACTCAATGAGAAAAGTTGAAGCAGTAAGCTTTCAAACTAATGCACCTTAGACTAAATATAATGTAATACTTCTCTTTTGAGGATGCAATGAATGATAAACGCAAAGAAGAATTAATGACAGAGACAGTAATGGCTGATCAATTAAGTAAATACGTTTTGAGTGATCCAGAACAAGATCATGAAAGAAACAGGCCATTTGCCATGCAACAACAACCAAGAAGAAATCTCGATCGAAGATTGCATGAAACAAGGTAATGGAAAAAAAGGTTTTTTTGGTTTCTTTTGCATAAAACAATAGATCTATATCTATTTTCTTCTTGAGAAAAAACTTTGAATTAAAAGACTAGTTTTTCTCAATAATATTTGAGGCATGAGACACTAGTATTGCAATTACTACATCTGATGAGAGAACGTTGCCAGCGGCTGATTTCGAACATGTTATTCTCTGAGGCTAATCCAAAGATATTAAGCGGATTTCTTGACACTAATTTCTAGAATACCAGAAAGTTTAAAAGTGAAATTTTTTTGAGACCAACATTTTGTAGAACATGTCAAATTACCTATATAATGTTATCTTGAAGCTTATCAAATGGTTATGAGTAATAATATGAAAAGATTTTGTTTGTCAAGTGGAATTGTAGAAAAGTTCTAATCTACAAGATTCGTGCTCACGAGGGAACCTCCCCATGTTGCAATCGCTTTCGGGCTAAAACCTAGTGGGTTATAGGTTATCGACTATGCTGATTCCGAATATAACAATCATTTTGGTCGATAGGTCTTCAGAGACCGGATTTCTGGAAAATCAGTTTTTCAAAACTCCTAAAAAATAACCAAAACCTTTGTTAATGAGGCAGAATTGTAGCCCGCAGATTTCTGATTAAAATGAGGCCGATCCCAGCTCTACACGATTTTTCTTTGCAAAGTTATATAGTTTGCAAGAAAAGTCCTAAATGTTCATTATCAGTTCAAAACTAAAGGAATAAGAAGAAATTAATTTAGGGCTTTTCATGTAAATTCTACAACATTGCAAAGAAAGATCGTGTAGAGCTGGGAGAGGTCTCATTTTAATCAGAAATCTGCGGGCTACAATTCTGCCTCATTAACAAAGGTTTTGGTTATT